TCTCTCTCTCTCTCTCTCTCTCTCTCTCTCTCTCTCTCTCTCTCTCTCTCTCTCTCTCTCTCTCTCGCTCTCGCTCTCTCCTTCTCTCTCTCTCAACTTATGGCATTTTCTTACCCTTTTGTGTTTTGTTCTTGTTTTTAAAACACCAGTGCCGCAGAGTCGGCAGAGATGGTACATTGCGAAACCTAATTTTCCTGTGCCCGAACAAATCAAACTGGTCCCTGCCAGGCCCGGTACATCGATCAAAAGCGGGGCCTGCGTGTATATTGCCACAAGTTTCGCAAAGGCGGGGCGGTGGGGTTGTACTGGTGGTTTGAAATCCTCAAAATAGTCAAGGCACTTGAAAAGGAGGATGCTCATTCTTTGGCTGACGGCATGTCAACGTTCTTGCCTTTGTGCGTAATCACGCAATTGCCCTTTCGCATCCCTTTAGGGCCGTTTAGGCGGCTTTGACGGAAGTTGCTGCTTTTGTCCTCTCAGTTGTCGGACAGTCATTGATGCTTAACGATAACCGTCGTTAAGGTGGATTATCACTTTCAGTATCATCGGTTAGGGGACTCTGCAGACAGACTGTATTTAGGAGGGTTCAGCCTCCTGATGAGTCGGTGCAAGTCTGACGAGACAGTCTGTCACCGTGCCCCCCCCCGCCCCCTCTCCCCCCCTGGTTTGTTGTCCTCTTCTCCCTCTCCGCCTACTGTTTACCGTGCAGTTCTCTTTGACAATATATAAGACATGATGTTATTGTTATTGTTATTATTATTATTATTATTATGGAGTTATATGAAGTTTATGTGAAAAATGATTTTTTTTTTTTTTTTGGGAGGCAGCTGAATGAATTGAGCAGCAGGCAAAAACTGATGTAAGCTGAAAGTTTTGTTTTGCAGTATCTGCAGCTAAAAAAGAAAAAAGCGCCCGCTCAAAAAAAAGAACTTTATCTGGAAGGCTTGATCACAGATTCTCTGTCATCACTTGGGTTCAGAAATTTCAGATTCTTTTTTTTTTTCTTTTTCTTTTTTTTCTTTTTTCTTCAGGTAAAAGCTAAAAAAACTATTTCAGAGTCTTCGCAGACCCTTAATCTGGTCCTTTGGGACATCTGTTAAAATTGGAACAATACATGGAAAATCGGAAAATCCGCATGGCCCTTGTGCAACGATGACCCATATATAAATGGAGAAATGGTCCTCCCAAAAAAAAATCTTAAAAAAAACACTACCTTTCTCATCCTTTTGGCTGAGATCAAGTGTAGTATCTGTTCTCTCTGACATGTTCAGGCTCAAGCAGCTGGATGCCAAGCTGGTATCCATACCTCTTAAGAAGTGGGCCTCAGTCCACTCACCAAATGTGCTAATTGCGAATGAATATTCCGCCAGAACATGGAAAGATGCACTGCCATAATTTTTGTCGTTTGTGCATGTGGTGAGTGGTGGGGCTAGGCCCAGTGTCCTGCCAGCTGTCCTGTTGTTGTTGACCTGACTTCGGGCTGTTTTGTCTTCCGCTGCCGCTATTTTTATTTTTAGGTCTTTTAAGTTTTAACTCCTTTTTACAGAAACTGTTACTATATATTTATATTATTATTATTATTATTATTATTATTATTATTATTATGCGACCAGTTCCTGGCATCCTGCATCCTGTCCACCTGTGGACATTCTTCAGTGTTTATAATTTTGTAATTATTAAGCCATCAGTACCTGCCACCGTTCTGTGCACCTCTGACAGTTTTTCAATTAATTAATTAATTATTAAACGACCAGTACCTGTTCCCATTCTGTGCACCTTTTGTCAGTCTTGTTTTCCTTGTTTCCTCTTTTTCCCCTTCCCCCCCCC